CTTGCTTAGTCCAGTGGGTAGCGACCCTGGGGGCAGGGTAGCAGAGTCTGGAGCCGACCATCGTGCAGGAGGCGCAGGATCTGGTCCAAGTTTTCAAGGATAAACAGTGCCAGCCGTTCGACCCAACAGTACCGCTTAGCCTGGCCGTTTCCAATGTGATCTGTTCCCTTGTGTTCGACAATGATGCCTGGGCAAACCAGTACACGGCTGTACGGACTTGAACTGTCCTGCCGGTTTCCTGTGCCTGGAGAACGAAGGGTCCTCCTACCTCTGCATGCCGGAGTAACAGCGCCACCTCGCGATCGGATGCAGTAACTACAGAGACGTCTTACATTCTGACATGAACTGATGTACTCGTACTCTGTATTTGACTGGATAGCCGTAACAAGAGTAAAAATGTATGTATGAAATTATTATCAGACGCAAAATAAATTAGCATATCAGAACAAATTGCTATGTGTCTTCTTTTATAATGAAGATCCGTTATACTTGAAATCGAGGTCTATATCTAGACTTAAATGGCATCGGACGTTGGTCATAATCAGGCAATGGTCCAGATGTCGAAATTGAACTGAAATAGTCAACACCACTAGCTATAGTACTCAATAAGGAAACGCCTTTCTGGCCCATGTAGGCTGATAAATTGCATTAACTTCTTTTAGGTGAAGCACGGCACACTTGTAACTTGCTACACGTCGGATTGTGCTTTGTTGTACATGTTTGCTGCCCTGGGCTAAAGACAGGTCATATGTTGACAGTCATACATACCTATACATATACATGCATATAACTTTACTATAGTACATTCGACTCCCTCTCACTTCTTAGTAATAGTGGAAATATATAGGAGGCTGTATGATTGGTTTGTCGAAGGTTGTAAGGTGAAGGACAGAGCACATCTAGATAGCTACACGTCACTGTGATTGCAATGAAACGAGACAAGACTTTACAAGGTATCATGAACACCTGACGAACTACTCGCCTGTCTGGTAAAGTTTAAAAGGGTTCAGGTTACCCAGTTCAGGTTCTACCAGACGAGTACAGTGTCGCCTTAGGGCGTATCTATACGGAACCACCCAAGGCGGTTTACATGTGGTTTACCCCGAAGCCGGTTTCAAGTGGCTCCATCTGAACGCTCCGAAATCACATTGAAAGCGCCTCGATCCCAAGCCACTTCTAGAGGTGGTTTCGAATCGGTTTCCCCGCATCGCGATTTGCGTCTGAACGCAATGTGATTTCAATGTAACTTCGCCTGGTCATGGATTACGGGGTAATATTTCTTTTTTACGTTTGCCGCCATGCGGCGGCAAACGTAAACATACGAAAACAATGCTTCCATCAACCCTTCGTTGGGTGAACATTTTCGTTTGGGTGTTGCATTCAATGTTTATCTATTATGTTTGCACTTTTTATTGTGGGATGGACCTACCAGATCACATAAACGCAATTCTTATATGACAAAGTTATCAAAAATTACACTTGAATTGTCTAAAAAATAATTAATCTGTACTACTGTATGCCCAAAGTGATTCTCAGAAGATTATGAAAATTGACATAATGGCCTTGATGAATAAATCGCATAAATTATGTTAATATAGATGACAAGTAAAACATTGGGTGTTGCATTCAATGTTTATCTATTATGTTTGCACTTTTTATTGTGGGATGGACCTACCAGATCACATAAACGCAATTCTTATATGACAAAGTTATCAAAAATTACACTTGAATTGTCTAAAAAATAATTAATCTGTACTACTGTATGCTCAAAGTGATTCTCAGAAGATGATAAAAATTGACATAATGGCCTTGATGAATGAATCGCATAAATTATGTTAATGTAGATGACAAGTAAAACATTGGCGCTCGCGCAACGTCTGTAATTAGTGGACAAATATTCCAACAACGATGTTTTAATTGTGGTCCACTACATTGTTGCTAAGTTTCCACACTAAAGAAACTTTTAAAGTACCCTTTTGCCGAAATATACGCCCTTGGCTGTGAAGAGAGAGAGTATCCGGCCCACCGCCATATTTACTAACCGGAAGATGTACTATTTCACTACATCGCTAGATGTCGCTGTTCATGTTGCTCTTGGAAGGCCCCGGATGTACTAGAGGGCATGTATGGGGGTGATAGTGATTACGGATTACGCAAAATTTTCGCCGCCGATTACGAATTAAGTAAAATTCTCAGAGCTATTAAAACTTTATGCATTAAGGCTAATATAATATTACGAATTTCATTGATTTGGAGGGCGACTGCCAACGGATTACGAAGACTAAAATGGTCCGATTACGCCTCAGGAAAAAGGGCATGCAGGATCCTACAACGAGCATTCCAGCTCTCAGGTGCGTACTGTGCCTCAGTATTTACGCCATATAAATTGAAAAAAATATCAGCAATGTTATGAGTATTAGGCATAGAGTTACAGGAAAATAGTATAGCTAAAAGTACCATGGGCAAGGGTGATCAATCTAATTGTGCTTTGACGCGCTGTTTAACAATATTTAGTAGTCAAACTGACTGCCCCCTCCTCTTTGGATTTACAAATGCGTCTAACAATCTCTTTTCGGTATGATCAAATTATGCAAGGCTAAGTTTCTTGCTTTAATATTAAAATTAATTACCGGCAGATGCTTGCCAATCTTAAAGTTTGTTCTCTGGAGTGTTTCTACCGTATCGCCTTAATTTTTTGTATTGTTGCATAAATTATTATTTTCTTTCTTACAAATTTTCGCTGTCAGTGGGGGGGGGGCGGTACAGGCTTTTCATTCGTCGCCAGTATTTTGTTGAAAAAACTTTGAGCTTTCAAGCTATTCGGTTCACACGTAAATCTTTCCTGGTATCAAACCTATCTCAATTTCATCAAGAAATTTGAGTGTACTCAGAAACCTAAGAATTGTTCATCAATATGGCAACATAAAGAAGCTCTCTCAGTAGTATATGGGCAATTTTGAAGACTTTGATGTGTTCTTTTAGCAACGAGAACTCAATATCTATGTGCACAGTTGCAAATTTTATGTTGAAACAAATTATTTGTCATCTCTTTCAGATGTGTCTTTGGCATTTGGATACCACAAAGCAATCAAACTATGCCACCATTCACTCAATACCAGCCTGTGCCACCGTGCACTCAATACTAATGTGCCATTGTGCAGAACTTGCAGATTGTATACTGGCTGAGTCCATGTCTCACGAGTGAATTATTAAAACCAGAAACTGTATCTTGCCCTGAAACCAAATATTCAATAAACAATCTGAACACATACATTTAGAATCTGTGTATACTTGTGTCACATTTCTTACATATAAGCCATTAATTGCCTTTGCCCACAATGTGTGAAGCTATACTATCAGGAAAAAAAAGGTAACAACATTTTCAGTGAAACTAGCAGAGGTGGCATGTGATTTTCTTGTGCAAAAGTACAATGGCGGCAAACGACAGCTTTTGTAAAAGCACTTGTTTTATATGCAATACCAACTTTTACGTGGCAGCAACTTAAAGAGCAGTAATGGTCAAATAATGTGTCCGTTCTAGGGCGAGCTTCATCGCCTCTGGCGGGACCACGTCGGCTGGGAGGGACCACGATACGCTGGGAGGGGGCATCGGCAAGCAGGTCGTTGACCTCTGACATTAATAACACGCCACCTTGCGTGTAATCATCAAACAGCAATAAATGTAGCTCAAGCGTATTGTGTTCGGACACGGTTTCACAGGTGTGTGTGGCACGTGAACCAGATGTGAGGAATGTGAGTTACCCGAATCGCGGTTTGGGTGATTCCACATAGACACGGCCTTAGTTCACCTGAGCTGAACTCACTTCACTTCATCGCACCTCACCTGACCTAATCACCCCAGCTGCACTCATTTCACTTCACCGCACCTCACCTGACCTAATCTGGCCCTCAGACTATGTTGAAAAGAACACAAAAACTTCATTCTCTATTTGTTGTCAGATTCGACCCATAGTAATTTAATTAATGTTGAGCATAAAACGCCCCAACACTTCAAAACACAGTGAAAAGCAAGTTGTTTAACGTCATCAGGACGTCACCTCACCTGACCTGATCTGGCCTTCAGACTACAGAGCGTTTTCACATGACCTTGTGGAGACAATAGCAGTGAAGGCGGTACTCGGTTAACTGCGTGCCAGTTTATCGTAACTAAAGAACATGCGGACCAAGATCTTAAGCAGAGGGATACATAAAACGGTATCAAATTAACAGGGCAGTACCAATTACAGGGCAATATCCAATATGCCACGCAAAGGCTGACGAAAAAAAGGTCCAAGAACACGTCAAAGATAAGCCTGACTGAGAGCCAAGACCCATGCTTTAAGAAAACACAAAATAACGCCCCATGCACTGGCGGCAGGACTTCCAACGTCATATGCAAATTAGGAGGCAACACGCACTTACTCTCACAGACTTGGTGGGCAGCTTAGAAGCCAAATGGAGTTCCTGCTTGTCGTAGCCTTCGCACTGCTTGTAGTGTTCCTGTACGTCCAAAACGTCAGGTTGAGAAGGAAATACCCACCAGGGCCTCGTGCCTGGCCGATCGTCGGCAACCTGCGCGATCTCGCCCGAGGACAACATCGAGTGTTCGCTGAATGGCGACTGAAATATGGCGACGTCTTCACGTACGTAACACATCACCAGTGACACAACTGAGTACTGACTTAACATTGATGTGATGCAGACGTTAGTAATGTTTTTACACGGACATTATGGCTAACTCTAGTAGAGGCAACGAGAAGAAAATGAGTCAGAGCTCAGCTGTGCGGGTTGAGGTGGGCGTGCCAATACTTAGGTCACACGTTCGGAAGCATAATGCATCATTAGACAGAATTTCACCTACGGCTTAGCAGGGACAACAGTTACTGGTTGTTTTCGATGCCAGTTTTAGAGTACCCAAAGGCAACACATTCTATCACACTTACCATTCTCCACCTTGTAATCATTCATGTACTACAAACGATATACTAAATTGATTTAAAATGTCCTGATTCCCCAGTGTCTGGCTCGGCCCTCGGCCCGCAGTCGTACTGAACGGACAGGACGCTGTGAAAGAAGCTCTGCAGAAACATGGCGACATCTTTTCGTCTCGTCCAGACTTGTTTATGTGGAGGAAAACAATACCTACTAGAGGAAAAGGTAAGAAGGCATCCTCACATGAAGCGACTTGAGTATTTGTGACCAACTTTGTAATAAAGACGTATTTTGGTTATGTCTTTGTGGTCTTCATCTTTGACATATTACCCACAATGCATAACACTTCGCAAAATTAAATCATGAACCTCCTTACTATTTGACTGTTTGGATGTCTTTGAGAGGGATTACTGGCTAATCCTATCGAAAGACAGTCGAGGTTTCTGCATGATTAAGATGTTATTATAGATGCTGCTATTTAAACGTGCCACGTGATAAAGAACTATTAAGGAAGAAGTTTTAAATTTGAGCCGAAACGAGAATAGTCATCATTTGGTATTTCTTGTTCGCTTTTACCAGGTATTGTTACGGCTCCCTTCAGCCTCGAGTGGAAGGAGACCCGAAAGGTGGCTCTGACTTGGCTCAACGCCTTCGGGGCAGGGAAGCAGAGTCTGGAGCCGACCATCGTGCAGGAGGCGCAGGATCTGGTCCAAGTTTTCAAGGATAAACAGGGCCAGCCGTTCGACCCAACAGTACCTCTAAGTCTGGCGGCTTCGAACGTGATCTGTTCCCTTGTGTTTGGCAGGAGGTTCAACCACGATGACGAGCGTTTCTGTCGCCTAATGGAGCTTCAAAATCGATACCTCCGCTTAAGTGCGACCGCTCAGGTGTGTTTCCTCGTACGGTTTTGTGGTGCATGTTAGCCTATCCACTATGCAATGTCCCAAGTCGGTACTTCACAAATCACGCTTTTTACTTCAACATGCACACAACCACATATTTGGAAGTTTGTACTGAACTAAAGATGTACCTGTTTGTCATCTACCATACTCTGAGGCTGTTACCACAATTAATTTACATATTTTAGCATGTGTGGTAGCCTATCTTCCTCTCCCAGGCGCTGAAGTAATCTGACTGCTTCCCCAGGCGTTGAACGTTTACCCAATCCTGCGGCACGTCCCGTCTGTCCGGCGGAAGTTGGAGGAGGTGGTGACGTGCAGCGAGGAGATCCGCAGCTTCGTCATCGAAGTCATTCAGGAGCACAGGGAGACCTTTGACCCGAACAACATCAGGGACGTCATCGATGGTTTCCTGCTGGAGGAGCGCCAAGGTAGGTGGTCAAAAGACAATCCATACACATAGCGTTTACAGTAGTTCCAGTAGTTACTGAATGATGGCGTTTATCGTTAGTCAGTAGTTACTGGGCTGACATATCATACCCGTCTCCTGAGAGGAACGTCGTTGATAGTTTTGCCAGATGGCGGCAATATGGACCGGTTCGTGGTCAATGCTCTCGAGAGTTTCATTCACTGACTCGAGATAGTTCGTACGGCATTTGGCATTTTTAATCATCATCGTCATCATCTTCTAAGGTTCTGCCTTTGCAGCCGTAGGAATTTTCTGCAGTTACAATGAGTCTAGCAACTCTAAAGACTCCAAGAGTCTAGCAACTTCTATTTTTATTTCAGAGTTTTCTTGCCGTTTCTTTGCAATGTTTTTGGATCACTTCAGCACCTTTAAAAGTGTATTTGATAAGACAACCAATACGCGTACAGTTGTGACAAAAAAGACCTCGTCTCTTCAATCACAGGGAACAGAGTTTTGTCCGAACTGCCAGAGGACAACATCATCAACGTAGTCAAGAACGTATTCGTCGCAGGAACCGACACCACCGCCACCACGCTCCGCTGGGCTCTTCTGTACCTGGCTATGAACCAGGATGTACAGTGTAAGGTGCAAGACGAGATCGATGTGGCGCTTGGAAATCAGGTAATGTTATGTAGAAGTTTCCCAACATCGTTAATGATCAGTGGGTCTCTTTCTTGACCAGAGGGTTAAACAATTACGGTCGTGTGTTCGAATCCTTGAATTTCCAGATTATTTAGAACTTTAATTTTGAATTTGTTCTTTTAAAAACAATGCGTTGTTTCAGTCTACATTAGCGTTTTAAAATCCCTACAGACCCCGTCTATGCTGCTGCGGGACCACCTTCCCTACACGGAGGCGACCATACGTGAGGCCCAGCGGATTCGCACCATCGTTCCTTCTTCCCTCCCTCATGAGACTACAGCCCCTTCTACCATATTCGGACATCAGGTGACCGTTTTTTACTTCTTGAATACACATTAACGCCATAGTGTAGTAGTTTACGTTCTTTGTACTATATAATGTACTCTTTCCACGCTTTAAAAAAAATGTTGTTTTTTTGTGTGCCACAGATCCCCGCCGGCACCTTCATACTGCCCAACCTGTGGTCTCTCCACATGGACCCGAAGTACTGGCCCGATCCGGAGAGGTTCGACCCGACCCGATTCCTGGACGCCGACGGGCACCTGGCACCGAGGACAGAGTCCTTTTTACCGTTTAGTGTAGGTAAGAGCGGCGCTAGTTTTTACTATAAAGACAGCCGGGCTATATGTAGGTACCCCATGGATTTTCTACAGAGCTGAATATAGGAAACCAAACATCTAGTTCTGTGTAATCAGCTAACGCTAGCTACAAGATTGTTAGCCTCTGGAATGTTGAGACAATTTCGTCTCTCTTGTTCTTTTCTACGGTGGTCTAACCATCCCGTACTTTCGCACCAGGTCCTCGAAGGTGCCTCGGAGAACAGCTGGCCAAGTTCGAGTTGTTCCTGTTCTTCACTTCCCTCTTGCAGCGGTTCACTTTCAAGCTGCCAGAGGGCGCTCCAACACCGGACACAGAAGGCATTTCGGGGATCGTGTTTTCTCCGAAGCCATTCGAAATCTGTGCTTTCCCTCGAGTTTAAGCAGGGCCTCAGTTGTGCTAAAGGTTTCGTGTATCTGATACGAATGAAACGTGATGTAGATGGGATAATCATGGTTATGCAAAACTATAGGTGGCTTATGTATCTACACTATGAGGGCTACTTGAATGTTCTTCATTATTTATTTCTTGGAGTAAGCATCAATGAGTAGTTTGTCCGAAAGGCCTAGCTTGGCTTATGTGACAGGAATTCCCTTTCAGCTTTGCTAAGCGTTACGATATATGGTAACCCACCTTATAGCTTCGCTTGAAACGTTCGAGTTAGTCAGTACTGCGTGATCGACCTCCTTAATTAATGTATTAGTACCTGTTGTCCAAACCACCTAACACCATATATACTACTATACCACAAAGAAACTTGGCATGATGTTACAGAACAAGAGCACAGTAATACCCGCTTTCTGGTATAGCTTATTTGTAGTCTGTGTTTGACTGCGTGGTTACATGCAACAGAGATCTATGTATTTGTGCATGCAATTAGGATATTAAACGCAAAATAAACCAGAATTCGTAGATCTCATACCTACATTAAAATATTTAGAGCCTTTGTAATTTCATTTGGTTTTGAGATGTTTTAAACGATCACAGAGATGTAATGATTACATGTAGCATAACATATTCTATATATGGTTTTCTAAACTTTTCTAAACTCAAATTACATAGAAATTAAATTTCTTTTGTGAAAGTCCTATCCATTGGCAAGTTGTTGTTCCAAAATTGTAATATCGATTATGCAAATGACCTTCACATTAACATAATATATGGATAGTGATGCTTCCTTTAACTAATATACACATGTCACAAGTATGAAATGTCCATCATTTACCTTTCAGAAATCATAGCATTTTTGTATTAATTATGCAACGTAGGTGTTCTTTTGCATAATCTGTCTCTGTTAATGTTCCACCTGCCATAGATTACATACATTACATGTATCAAAGCCTTTAATGTACAATGATGATTTTTAAAAATTTCCTCATTGATTATGCAAATTGATCCTCATTTACATGATTTACATTCAATTGTGTACATCTCTGTCTAAAGCTATCTACATGCCAAAAATCATGAAAACTCGTTTCTTTTTTTATTTTTAAAGATTTCGCTGGAAACTCTCCTGCAGTTCCAGAACAAACTGTTCCGAACCAAACCCACACCACTTCTTCCTGACAGAAAAAGCTATCTGTCACCAAAAAGTCAAGACCATAGCATGTTCAGGACAAAAGATACAAAAAACGGAAGTACTGCTGAAGTACCAAGGTCATCCACCAGGAAGCCCAGATTTGACCTTGACATTTGCCCTTTTAAGGACTACCGGCGTACCAAATATCATCACAATCCATAAAGGCGTTCTGAAGTTATGATGACCACAAGGATGCGGAAACACACACAGACACAAAGACACACAGACAGGCTGAAAACAATACCTACATTTCCATGTAGGTAATAAGCATATATTATTATTAAGAACAACTTGCTAGATATCTTGGACTTACTTCCTTCATACTGAAATCCCTTCTTTGACATCGTGGTCTACATCTATATTTATTATCAAACGTCTATAATCAGACGTTGATTTAAAGTGCACTGAAAAGGGACTGGTAGCCATAGTCAGTATGTAAACAAACGGCCTGTGTACGTTTGAGGTATGGTCTATTGACAAGGCGACCTACACGTAAGTTCAATGAACCTATAGTTGAACCGCCACAGGCACTGGTGGGAGGAATTCCAACGTCATATGCAAATTTGCAGGCAATGAGGCAACACGCACTTACTCTCACAGACTTGTTGCGAAGCTGGTCATGAGTAAAAAGACAAATGGAGTTCCTGCTTGTTGTGGCCTTCGCACTGCTTGTAGTGTTCCTGTACGTCCGAAACGTCAGGTTGAGAAGGAAATACCCACCAGGGCCTCGTGCCTGGCCGATCGTCGGTAACCTGCGCGATCTCGCCCGGGGAGAACACCGAGTGTTCGCTGAATGGCGACTGAAATATGGCGACGTCTTCACGTACGTAAATATGTCCCCAGTGACACAACTGAGTACTGACTTAATATATAATGCAGACGTTAGTGTTATTTGTCAATTGTTAATGGTAGTACAGTTAACGAGAAGGGCCCCTGACAATCTTTGGATACGATTAGCCAAGCTAAGAATGGTAGTAGAGGCAACTAGAAGAAAATAGGGGCTGAGCTCGGTTGGGGTGGGTGTAGATGGGCTTGCCAAAACTAACTAGGTCACAAGTTCAGAGGCATAACGCATCATTAGACAAACTTTCACCTGTCGCTTAGGGACTGTACGATATTTAGCGGGGAGGAGGGGGGTCGTTCGGCAGTACTTCCGGGTTGAAGGTGGGGGGGATGTCTCCCGGGAAATTTTAAATTTCAACCCCCTGAAAGGCCATTTTTTGCATATTAAGGGGTAAATTTGGCTGGTACCCCGAGCTATTAAATTCGGTGTTTTAGACTCCTCGCTGAGTATCATAGCAGGGACAACAGTTGTTTTCGATGCCAGTTTTAGAGATCAAGTTCTGACACCACTCCCTACCTTGTAAACAGTTATTTATTACACACGTGTACGCGATATCCTTTACTAACTTGCTTTGAACTGTCCTATCTATGCAGTGTGTGGCTCGGCCCTCGACCCGCAGTCGTGCTGAACGGACAGGACACTGTGAAAGAGGCTCTGCACAAACATGGCGACATCTTTTCGTCTCGTCCAGATCTGTTCCTGTGGAGACGAACAATACGGACCAGAGGAAAAGGTAAGAATGGACCCTAACCGGATGAAGTGAGTTTGTTTATAAACTTGCATATCCTCTGTATAGAAGGTTTGACGTTGCTTGCCGATTACTCAGGTAGACAACCCTGTCGGTTTTTTTAACTGACTGCCACTAAGCTGCAGCTTTTGGTCAAGCACCGGCTTGAAAAGTACAGTTCAAGTCTATACGCAATCCTATCACAACAAAGTAAAAACTAGTGCTTGCATTTCTTATCGCCAACATTAAAACATTCTATGGGGTCAATATTTCTTGAGATGTATTGCTGATTGATCCTTCTATCGAAAGCTTGTTCTGGTCTTTACAAGATTAAAATCTTCGAAACGAGAGAAAAATACGTAATCTGAGATGGAATTTGAGATGCTATCGTCTTTCACGTTTTTACCAGGTATTGCTACGGCTCCCTTCAGCCGCGAGTGGAAGGAGACCCGAAAGGTGGCTCTGACTTGGCTCAACGCCTTCGGGGCAGGGAAACAGAGTCTGGAGCCGACCATCGTGCAGGAGGCGCAGGATCTGGTCCAAGTTTTCAAGGATAAACAGGGCCAGCCGTTCGACCTAACAGTACCTCTAAGTCTGGCGGCTTCCAATGTGGTCTGTTCCCTTGTGTTCGGCAGGAGGTTCAACCACGACGACGAACGGTTCTGTCGCCTAATGGAGATTCAAAGTCGATACTTCCGGTCAAATGCGTCAGCTCAGGTGCGTCTTCTCATACACGTTTGGGGTGCATGTTAGCACATAGACAATTAGTTAAAAGTTAAAAGAGCCTTCCAGCAGAAGTGATGCATAGTGCGGCGCCCATCTCCGTTTTCAATAGCCCTGGGCCACACAAAAATCACTACAGCAGGGGGCTAGTCCGCTAGTAGTGGTGTGTGCTTAACTCCCATTACTCCCATTTCCCAAATGCTGAGTGCTAAGTGTACCGTTTTCAAAGTCTTTGGTATGACTCAGCCGGGGATCGAACTCAGGACCTACCAAATGCAAGGCGAGCACCCTAACCACCTGGCCATTGCACACAATGCGATGTCCTAATTCGGTTCTTCACATACCACACTTTTTACTATAAACTCTGAATATTAGGAAGTTTATACTACACTGAAGCTGCATCTGAACGTCTTGCAGAGGGACAACATCGGTCTGGCCACAGGGTTATGTTGTTAGCATACCTCCCACTGCTAGTACTCTACATGAAGTAATTTGTTTCCCCAGGCGTTGAATGTTTACCCAATCCTGCGGCACGTCCCGTCTGTCCGGCGGAGGATGGAGGAGGTGGTGACGTGCAGCGACGAGCTTCGCAGCTTCGTCATCGAAGTCATCCAGGAGCACAGGGAGACCTTTGACCCGAACAACATCAGGGACGTCATCGATGGTTTCCTGCTGGAGGAGCACCAAGGTAGGTGGTCAAAAGACAACACATACACATAGCATAACGTTAAACTTTATTCCAACACACTATTGTGTGTTGGAATCACTTTAGAACGTGATCTCGTTGTGAAGTGATTGGTCATTTATTATCCTGATGAAGGCGACAGTGGTCGCTGAAAATTTGATCCCTGTAACTTGTGTGTTGGAATAAAGTTTAACGTTTTACTATGATTACTACCAACACAGATGAACTTTCATGACATACACATAGCGTTTACAGTAATTACTGGATGAAGGTGTTCATCGTTAGTCAGTAGTTAATGGGCGGACATATCATCCCTGACTCCTGATAAGAACGCCGTTGATAGATTTACTAGATGACATCTCATAGTCAGAGAGTTGCACTGACTGACTCGAATTGCAGTGACTGACTCGAGAGTTGCATTGGCTAAAAACGCCCTTGTATTGACTTACTCGAGACAATAGAACATTCGGACTAGAGACAATAGAAAATTTGGATGATCCTCGGAAATCTGTCAATTTCATCACCATTATCATCATCATCTTCTACGCTTCTGCTTTTGCAGCCATGGGAAAGTTTTACAGTTGTAATAAGTCTTGGTTCAATTTATTTGACTGCGTCTTGGTCGGTTCTAGTAAGCTCACTTTATAGAACCTTTAAAAATGTTTTAGTAGCCTTTCCATACACACACGGTCGTCATAAGACCCTGTTCTTAACTATTGTGTTTAGGGAACAGAGTTTTGTCCGAACTGCCAGAGGACAACATCATCAATGCCATCAGAAATCTCTTCCTGGCAGGATCCGACACCACCGCCACCACGCTCCGCTGGGCCCTACTGTACCTGGTTATGAACATGGATGTGCAGCGTAAAGTACAGGACGAGATCGATGTGTCACTTAGGAAACAGGTAACTTTTCAAGAACACGATGGTCAGTGGTCATGTTTCTCACCCGTAGGGTATAACCCCTGAGGTCGTGGGTTCGAATCCTTGACCATTATGAACTAAGAAAAAATAGGCCAATTTTGTTTTAGAGCAAAACTAGACGTTACGTTATATCCTTACAGACCCCGTCTATGCTGCTGCGAGACCACCTTCCCTACACGGAGGCGACCATACGTGAGGCCCAGCGGATTCGCACCATCGCTCCTTCCTCTATCCCCCACGAAACCACAGCTTCTGCTACCATCTTGGGACATCAGGTGACCACTTATTACATCTTCTCGAATATATGTAATCAAGTGTACTGAGCTGTCATTTGCTTTCTTTTTTATTGTGACATCCACGTTTCGCACTTGTTTTTTTTTGTGCCACAGATCCCCGCTGGCACCTTCATACTGCCCAACCTGTGGTCTCTCCACATGGACCCGAAGTACTGGCCCGATCCGGAGAGGTTCGACCCGACCCGATTCCTGGACGCCGACGGGCAGCTGGCACCGGGGACAGAGTCCTTTTTACCGTTTAGCATAGGTGAGGCATGCAAGACAGTTTTGTCTTGGAATGAAAGCTCATTTGTGCTAGAGAACATAATGCAATTCTGGCAAAATACTTTATCCAACACATTTTAGAAAATATCTGAGAGAAACAGCAGACGAGTCGATTCGAACTTGGAGAACGTATGTTGCGTTGAGTGCTCCCACGTTTCGTGTTCCATACAAATGCGTTGTCCACATTGTATTCTGTATGCATGAAACATGAATTGCATCAATCTAAGCCCCACAAAACATGCGCTAAATTGCATAGGATGCAGAACCAATGTGATTTGTAAATAAGGCCATGTTGATTTGATTATATGGATGACATCCTCCGGGAGCCCCAAAACTGATGCGCGCGTGCGAATAAAAAAAAAGTTTTGC